ATAATTTAACCAAAAATATACACTGGAAATGTATATTTGAATGAAAAGGCAAACCACAGATTGGGAGAAAATATTTGTAAGACAAATATATAACAAAGCATGTGTGTCTAGAATATACTAGAGTAAGTCTGACTACTCAATATTAAAAAGACAAACAGCTCAGTTAAAAAATGGACAAAATATTTTAACAGATACTTCAATAAAGAAGATATGCAAATGGAAATGAGCACAAAAATAATGTTAATAGCATTAGTTGTTCAGGAAATTAAAAATGAAACTATAATATACCATTGCACACCCACTGGAATGGGTAATCTTTTAAAAAACTAACCACTCCAGCCCAAACCGGTTTGGCTCAGCGGAAGAGTGTCGGACTGTGGACTGAAGGGTCCCAGGTTCGATTCCGGTCAAGGGCATGTACCTTGGTTGCGGGCACATCCCCAGTAAGGGGTGTGCAGGAGGCAGCTGGTCGATGTTTCTCTCTCATCGACGTTTCTAGCTCTCTATCTCTCTCCCTTCCTCTCTGTAAAAAAATCAATAAAATATACTTAAAATAAATAAATAAAATAAAAAACTAACCACTCCAAAGGTGACGATGATGTTAAGTAACATTCTAGATATGCAAAGTGGAACAGACAAGTTGACAGTTTCTTCTGAACATACCAGTGACACAGAAATTGCATTCCTAGGTGTTTATCTAACATAAATGAGACTGTATGTTCACACAAAGATTTATACTGCAATATTCACAGGTGCTTTTTTAGTAATAACCCCTGATTTCAAAGAACCCAACTGTCTGTCTACTAGTGACTGGGTAGACCCACATTAAGATATAGCCACTTAATGGTGTAAAGCCACAGAAAGAAACTAGTGATATATACAACAATATTTATTAGTTTAAAACATATTATGCCAAGTGAAAGATGAAGAACACAAATGACTACAAACTGCTTGGGGATTATACTTTCTAATATTTAAATGCTAGAGGCCCAGTGCATGAAATTCACATATGGGAGTGGAGGTCCCTCAGCCCAGCCTGCACCTCCTCCAATTTGGAACCCCGTGGGGGATGTCTGACTGCCGGTTTAAGCCTGATCCCACAGGCCTAAACCGGCAGTCAGTCATCCCTCTTGCAATCCGGGACTGGTGGCTCCTAACTGCTCACCTGCCTGCCTAATCATCACTAACCACTCAGAATTCCAGTCTGATGTCCCTGACTGCTTCCCTGCCAGCCTGATCACCCCTAACTTCCCTCCCCGGCTAGCCTAATCGCTCTTAACTGCCTCTGCTTTGGCTCCCACCAATGTAGCTTTGTCCAAAAGATATCTAATTAGCATATTACCCTTTTATTAGTACAGATGTTATGATCCATTGTCCTGCCTTTTCTCTTCATGGTCCCCAATTATATTCCACTGCACCTTCTGTGCAACGCTCACTCTAAGGTACAGTCTGACTCCCCTGAGATTTCCCTGCTGTGCCCTAACCACATGGAGAGGAATAACGGAAATAGACATACGCCTATTATCTCCTATAGTTCTTATCTGATATCCTAGATATGAAAACCAGCATCTTTGAAATATAAAAGTATACATTAAAATATTCCCAACTTTATTTGGCCTTGAACTTTATATGAAAATGTCAATATTAGAATGCAATCTTGATTTGGGAATTTTTGAGAAAGGTTTGGGAAAAAGCAATAAGAATTCTGATATAGCCTTCATAGTATAATAACTAAAATAGTTGGCAAAGAAATTAGCTTGTCAGACTCCTGACAATAAAGTTATTTATATATCTATAAATTTAGTAAAATACAAAAAAAAATCATCACTATGAATATGAAATGATACTTTTAATTCAAAAACCACCCAAATCACACCTCCATAAATTAGTAACGAGAACCAGAATGCCGACTGCCAGCACTTCTGCCTTATGCACATTTAAAATGAGAGGATTCTGGTTCACGGCAGACAGGATGCCAGCCCAATAATGAGAATCCGAAGGAAGCAGGAGAGGAGCTCAAGATGGGCATGAAAGTGAAAGGCACAGGCACAAAATAAAACGGATTTTTATCAAATAAATTCATACTGTCCAATGAACACAGTATGGACAAGAATGGTAAATGAGCGAACGTGTTAGGATCGTTTGTATCCACATCAAGAATATAGACGGAATGATGTGAAGAACTTATCAGATGAGTAACATTTCTATGTAATGGTTTTCCTTTACCTCCTAAGAGTCACTTCCAAGAGATCTCAGCTTGAGAGAGAGCCAGAGAGGCCCGCCGTGCAGGCCCATGAGCAATGCAGCCAGAGTAGGATGCTGGGGCCCAGTCCTAAAAGGAGATGCTCTAAACCCAACTAAACAATGACCACGCCTTAGTCGGCTTTCAGTTTACATTCTCCTTCCTCCCCCCACACCCCACCCCGGATATTTTTCTGCTCGTGTGAACTTGGTAATACCCAAGCTACAAGAAGAGCAAGGACTGGCCACGCCAACAGCAGTGTGGCTATCAGAGTGCTCTTATACGTGTTCTACGAATGCTGGCTTACTGCCCACTGAGGCTGCACTACACTCACTTTCATAGCCTTGATCTGCTGGGCTCCACGCCACCCAGTCCGTGCTGTACTTCAGCCCAAGGGCACACCGTGGAGCAGCCCGGGAAGAAGGAAGAGCCTGTGGCGCTCCGCTTAGGAGCGAGTGGATGTGAGATCCAATGAAGACTGTCCGTGGTTACCCCGAAGGACATACTACACCAAGCACGTCAAACTCCAAGGCTAACACGGGCCAAATAAACGAGGCATGCGGCCCGCAAGCAGTGAGTTTGACATGCTCGTACTAACATACTCGCCCTAATCGCTAAGGCTTCTCTCATCCAACTCCTTCTGCCCAGGATTCTCCTCAGGCTTCTCCAGCTCTTGCTGAGCCGATTTCTCTGAATTCATATGACTTAAATGCAATTAGGATGGGACTCTATTATATTGACAGGCCTACAAGTCACCTTATGTTGATTTTTTCACAACCAGTATTTATTCAGAATCCACATATATCAAGATTATTTATGCCCTGCTAGAGTGGCTCGGTAGTTGAGCATCAACCTATGAACCAGGAGGTTATGGTTCATTCTAGGTCAGGGCACATGTCTGGGGTTGCAGGCTCCATCCCCAATGGAAGTGGGGGAGGGGCGGGTGGTGCAGGAGGCAGCCAATCAATGATTCTCTCTCATCACTGGTATTCCTATCTTTTTCTCCTCCCTTCCTCTCTGAAATGATCAATAAAAATATATCTTTAAAAAGCTCATTGAGTGCTTTAAACAATACTAGCAAACACAGTGATAATATCAAGCATGACCCAATGCATGCTAATCTCCTGTGCAGTATGTGAGGCTGAAAGAAGTCCACATATTCCCAACATGTGAAGAAAGTGTAAGAAAAAAAAATGTCTCAACTGTTGTGTTTATATTTCAAGATAAATTCAGAACACAGACTGAAAGGATGCTATTGCTAGTTAAAGGTCAACAGACAACAAGTATTAGCTGAGTGAAAACTAGGCTAGTTATAATTACTCCACTGGCCTATTAGAGAAGCCTAGCTCGGGCCAGGACAATGTTCTCCCGCTCAGACCTCTGTGTCTCATACCCATGCTCCCCACTGGGTGCACCTATGGGTGCTGCAGTGGGTTGTGTGTGTGAGTTCATAGCTCCCCTCACTTCTAGTTCAGTCTTATTTCAAACGCCTAAGCACTCTGATTAGTATTTTTCTACAGCAAACAAGTTTTCTGCATTTCCAGGAAGCTCCCTGGGCAGAAAGAATGACAAGGTGAACCAAAAGTAAATCAATTGCATGGGTTTCCCAGCAGGTTCCCTTCCCAGAAACAATGCATTTAAGAACCGAAATCATCCCATTAAGTTCCACCAATTAAATAGCTGTCTCTTTATGAAGTACACTTAAAATATGTAAGTACATTTGATAACCTGAAAGAATTGGGAGATTACATACACAAACTTCCATTTTTGCTAAAATTGTATAAAAATGATTAAATTTTCAATAATAATAAATATATATATATATATATATATAAATATATCACACCCACAAAAAGCACTTTCTCTTATGGGTTTACTTGCACTGAGGTCTTCCACTATGCCTTCTAATTTGTAACAGGCTTATAAGGTAAATGATGAACTCCTTCGTAGAAAGGGCAGTGTTTTAAAACATGGTGAACTCATACTGCCTACACACCGCAAATGTGCACACCAAAACATCAAAATTTGCCATGAACTCATTCCTGCAATAATTTATAGAAGGAAAGATTCTATACAGGATTTAAATTTATTTTGGAAAATAAGATGAGATAAACTTACTTCAGAAAGCCCTCAATGTGAAATATTTCCAATGAACTATTTTGGTAAATTAGATTTTCCCCTCCCATTGACTCTGATCAAAATAGGGAGGAGAAAGGATGAGGACTAAGGGAACAGGTGAAATATACTACTAATTGGATTTCTCTTTGAAACTGCAAGAACCCTTAAAATCTTTAAATAAAGTCACAGTTACTCTGATTGCTACACAGAAAAAAGGAAAACTCAGTCCCCATGAGTCCTAGAATCTTTTACTCCACTGAGTTTACAACAAGTAAAATAGGGCATTGCAATTTTCACAAAAACCTAAGAACTTCGTAAAGCATCATAAATCCTACATTTCTAACTTTCACAATTAAATGATTTCATGATTTTACTTTTGATAGTTTTTTTTTTTTTACACTTTGGAAAAATGTAGATTATATTTACATTGGCCAATATATGAGAGGAGTTATTAAAAATATCAACAATCATTACATTTCATTAGGAATTACTGTGATCCCATCTACTGAATAGAAAGAGCTCCTCCAAGCCCTCCCACGAAGCCGAGAGCCGTGATGTTACGACTTATATTTTAATATCTTTGTAAAACGGCCGACAGAATTACCATGCAAATGCAGTGCTGGGGTTCCCGGTCACTCACCTCGCCCCCATTGACATATTCCATCACAAAACACAAACGGTCTTTTGTCTGGAAGGAATATTTCAAGGACTTGAAATAAAAAAAGAAAACATATGTTATGTTATAATCCCACATTGTCACAATGGCACCGAAACAGCACACTCAGAAGCAGCAAGCGGGACTGATGGAACGGACGGCTCTCGTTCCCTGCGAGTCTATCTGCCCCTGCAGGGCGCTTAAGGTGGGGCTTGTGAGCAGCGGAAGACAAACGATGCCTCGCTCGGCCATGGGCATTGCAAGGGGAAAATGAACACTCGAAGTAAAAATTAACTCAGAAACTGCGATGCGCACTTCTCAATGGAGGTGCCATCTATTCCGTCCTGCAGGGGGTCCCCATGAGATGGCAGAGTGACAATAGGGGAGGCCTAAGGCAGTGACAATGGTTATATGTGGGGATCTCATCATGACAACGTAACTTTTTGCAAATAGGGGACTTAACTAAATCTCCCAATTCAATGGAGTTGGTTCATGTCATTTCATGGGTCATAGAGGCCGCAGAAATAACTTAATCCACTAAGACAAAAAGCACACAACAATGTGGCATTAAGTCCAGATATCTGGTGATACCTGTGAAAATTCCTACATGAGGCAATCCTAAATCTTTTAAAGACCCTTTAAGATCTCTTAAATTCAGTCAAGGTTACTCTGAAGAGAAACCTCAGCCACAATGTATACCCCTGTGGCTTATTCTTCCAATGAGCTGACGATGAATAAAATCATTCCTCCTTGTGGAAGTCTAGCTGGTACTTTTCATCTGAATGTACTTCCCTGAAACCGGAACTCTAAGCAACTTTGCAGATTGTGCCTCAATTACAATCAATCAAGGAACAGACTAAAAAAAATTGGTTTGCTTCATAATCCACAGTTTATGCTTCGTCTAAAGGAATAGCATGCCCGATCTGCCGTTAATGTCATGTGCTCAGCATTCCTGTGTTTCTGAAAAGTCCTCTCGCACTGAAAGAAGTCTCCATGTCTACAAGAAATGTCCAGCCAAGATCTCTGCCTTTCACATGTGAGGACAATGTTGCCTGATCATGTGTATATTTATAATAAACCAGAGCAGCACAAAACCCTTACACGTACTGCTAATCTCTAAAGCCTGCCCCTTTTTAAGTCCACTATTTTCTCAGTGGGCTCCTTAACATGCCCTCGGTGATGTATGGGCTGTGTGAGTTATCTGTATTCAAGGCAGTGAAATTCACGGGAGGAAAAAAAATAATATCCTAAAAGTGATGGGAGGGACTACGGATGCATGCATATTGCAAATTCAACCCTTACGTTCTGGTAACTTCCAAGAAATCGGACTTGCGGTCTTCCCACTCAGAGGAGGGCGTACCTCAGTGACTGGTTCTGACAATGTCCTGTTCCCTAGCTTAGTGCGGTCACACCCCCTCTCATCTGAAAAGCCGTGGTGACCGCGCCTGCCCGCGCGCGGGTCACTTACTGTCAGGAAGGGGTGCCTCGTGTTCTTCAGGACTCTGCTCTCGGTGAGGGTGTGTGCCACCTCATCCTGCAAGAGAAACAGCCCCTTTAGTGCCAGTGCTGAGACCACAGAAACCGCACCGCTCCCGAGGCCAGGAGAGGCAAAACCTAGAGACGGAAAAAGGTTTTATTCATTCATTATTATTATTGTTGTTATTATTTGAATCCTCACCCCAGAATATTTTTTCCATTAATTTTTAGAGAGTAGAAGAGAGAAAAACAGAAATATTGATGTGAATTGGTTGCCTGCTGCATGAGCACTGACCAGAGCCTGGGAGGAGCCTACAACTGAGGTGGCATGCCCTTGACCGGAATCGAACCCAGGACCCTTCTGTCTGCAGGCCGATACTCTACCCACTGAGCCAAACTGTCTAGGGCTGGAAAAGGTTTTATAACACAGTGACATGCTTGCTCCCAGTTGCCAAACTAGCTTCTCACTGTTTCCTGATTTCTATTTCTAATCTCTTTCAGTGTTTCCCAAACTTTTTTTTTTTTAATATATTTTATTGATTTTGTACAGAGAGGAAGGGAGAGAGATAGTTAGAAACATCGATGAGAGAGAGTCATCGATCAGCTGCCTCTTGCACACCCCCTACTGGGGATATGCCCGCAACCAAGGTACATGCCCTTGACTGGAATCGAACCCGGAACCTTTCAGTCCCCAAGCCTATGCTCTATCCATTGAGCCAAACCGGTTTCGGTGTTTCCCAAACTTTTGACATGTGTGTACCCCTTCTATAATTTTCGTAACGCTGAGTACCCTTATACTCATGAGAATGTAGAATTAGGCGCAGCTAAGCACAGTGCAGTGCATATCCCCACCAAACTCCGTTGCAATGCGTACCCCCACCAAACTCTTCCCGTCCCCCTGGGTGTACGCGCACCACCCTTTGGGAAACACTGTGTGTGTGTGTGTGTGTGTGTGTGTGTGTGTGTGTGTGTGTGTGTATGTGTGTGTGTGTGTGTGTTTTTTACCTGGATGGAGCAAATGAAAGCAGTCATTCTCTGCTTTCCATAAACATACACTAGTAGTCACCTTTCCCATGTGTTGTTACTGGAATCTTTGTTCTTTTTAAAATACATATATATTTATTGATTTCAGAGAGAAAGGGAGAGGGAGAGAGACATAGACGCATCAATGATGAGAGAGAATCATGGGTCAGCTGCCTCCTGCATGCCCCCTACTGGAGATGGAACCCACAACCTGGGCCTGTGCCCTTATGGGGAATCGAACCGTGACCTCCTGGTTCATTGGTTGATGCTCAACCACTAAGCCATGCCGGCTGACTGGAATCTTTGTTTCTGAGGCTCCTGTTCCAATGGGACTTGGATGAAATGGGACATGAACTCCTAGGGCTTCAGCGGTGACACAATCCTTTCGGAAGCCAGGCTTACTTACTCTGGAGAGCATGCTGCTTGCATATGCTGTGAAAAGTCCTACATTGTCTACACTGCCCCTCATTTCACTCCAGCCTTTCCTTCTGTCCCTCCCAATTTCTAGTTCTGGGACAGACCAATCTCTCATGCTCACCTTTCTATGCTACATCAGAAGGGGGGTCACAGACAGAGCAAAAGCGCCATTATAATCCCCCTCCAAGCTCAGCTGAACCCCGGACGATTCTGACTCATTGCTGCGGTGTCACCTTCCATCCCGTACCACGGTTGTTCCAAACCTTTCTCACGCAGCCTACGTGCCTTGCACAAGCGCTGAGCTGCACCAACAGCCCTGCCAGGCCCCCTAGTCAGTGCCGCGCTGGGGCTGGGGCCCAGGTTGTCTGATCTCAAGTTGTCTCTCTCCATCTCATCTTCACTCCCTCACACTTTCAAAGGCCAGCTTGCTTCCTACTCAGGACGGGAGTCCTTAATAACACGTGGCCCATTCGATCACTCTCGTCTGGAAACCCGGCGTCCAGGGCATCATATGTATGAAGAATGAGGGAAACAGAAAACTGCCTATAGTATAGACTGCGGTGATACTTGTAGTAGCCAAGATCCACGGGGAGATGGTTAATAGTGGGCAATGTTTTAAGAAAAGGGCATGTGCGCAGTCACAGAGCATTTCCTCTCAGACAGCTGTTAATTAAAAAGGGAGAAATCAGAACGTCACAGAGGCTGAACCGGCAGACACCCGGTTACCAGGTGACCGATGAGATGTCCGCAGGAGTGAGGCAGATGCATTTCATTCATCCCCGAGACGATGCCGAGAGGGCGGGCGCCTCAGGATCCGCACCCCAGTCTTGTCAGTCTCGAAAATGTCACATTGCTAACCACTTCGCTACGAAGAAGCCCATTTTCCTTCAAGGAACTGATAAACGAACTTGTTGGGGAAAGCAGCGAGGATCTACAGCAATCGGGATGGTCTATCATTTGTGAACTGCACCCGGCTTTGTGCAGCTCCTCGGAAAAGTGTAATTAATTAGTGAGGAAAGACAGAATCCAAGTGAGGCTTATGGAAGAAAGGAAAAGCAGAATGGAGATGACATTTGCTCATGCATGAGACACAGCAGGCGGCACTCGTAATCATCAGAGCAAATATGTAACAATAATATATTTATTTTCATTTAATGCGATTTTAATTTTATTCAATATATAACTAAATTTATTCAATAATGATGGCAGGTGCTATTCCATTTATTTAAAAATATATTTTATTGATTTTTTTACAGAGAGGAAGGGAGAGGGATAGAGAGTTAGAAACATCGAATAGAGAGAAATATTGATCAGTTGCCTCCTGCACACCTATCGGGGATGTGCCCGCAACCAAGGTACATGCCCTTGACCGGAATCAAACCTGGGACCCTTCAGTCCACAGGCCGGCACTGTAGCCACTGAGCAAAACCGACCAGGGCCCATTTCTTTATTCATTCATTGGATCCTGACACAGCCCTATGAGAGGGACACGATTGGGACCCTCATTTTTCAGGTAAGAAAACCAAGGCAACAAAAAGTTGAGTAATTTGTTTGGGATTGTTTAGCAATGAGTAGCAGAGCCTACGGGAAATGCCAGTGTAATCACCATACGTGTCAGGTGTAATGCTGGATCCTTTACGTACTCCATTCGACATCACATTCTTGTCCAGGAGCTCCGTTTCCCACAAATGAAAGTTTTACAATTGGACAAACCGCGATTCTCCTGGGCGGCTCCGCTCGCTGCGAGCTGTTTAGCATGCTTGGCCTCTACCTGACCTCAGTCAGCCTTTTCCTTCCGAGTCATCGTGATAACCCCTCAAACCCCAAATACCCCAAATACTGTCAAATGTCCCCAAAGGATGGTACTCCCCCAAAACTGCTTGGGGAAGATCATTAGGTAATAATATGCAAAGCGGGGTTACAATCCTAGGCCCCTCTATGTCTTTCCCCCATCAGCACTGACTACAAAGAAACCAAGGTTGAAACAAACCTACAAGACACGGGAGTGAAACTCAGAAAGTGGGCCGAGCAATTCACTCCAGACAGGAAATATTGTAAAGGAAAGCTAAAGTCGTCTACACAGGTAGGTCACTGTTAAGCAAGACAACACTTGGACCAACTTATAAAGTAGATCAAATTTGCTTTTTGAGGGAATTAGGGTTTAATTTAGAACCCCGAGAACTGGCATCATTAGCCTGTTCATTATTTGCAGAGGTGAACGAAGTTATGAGAAGGTGTTAGGCCTCCTGAAAAAAATGTCAAAAACTATTTCTTTTAATTTCATTATTCTCGTATTTTCAAATTTATTAAGGCTGCTTTTCCATTCAACAGATATAAGCTGAATAACTTATGAGTACAAATCATCTGTTATTCTAATCCCTCTTATTCAAGAAGAAATTCAGAATGTTGGGGGAAAATAAAAAGTAACATTAGTGCAATTATTAATCTAGGTCACAAATACAGAGCAAAAACATTCTCCCAAACACACAGAGGATGAATATTTCTATCTCCTCAAGGTAATAAAATAGCTTCAGTATGTAATACTTAGATAACACTATAAATGTTTGAAAATTTTAATATTACAAATATTAAGATAATAGATGTTGTTAACAGTAGCCTACAACCAACAACTTGGCCACTGAATAGAATTTCAACACTTATCATGCATATGTGTGAGAACACACACGTGTGTACAGTGTAAAAAAAACTTTCTGTTACCTTTGCAATAATAACTTCTTTCTTCAGAATCTTCATAGCGTAATACTTCCCACTCGCCTTCTCTCGAACCAAAATAACTTTCCCAAAAGTGCCTTTACCTAGTAGCTTCAAATAGTCAAAATCATTCATTGTCTGGAAAATACAAATGAAAAAAATACATGAAATATTTGATGCAACTTATTCGTAAATATGCACTCAAAGGCAAATTCTACCAAGAGCTCTCTGAAATGAGTAAGAATCAGATGGCACTGGCTGTCTCATCAGCAGTCACAGATGCTGGAAATCACTGAAGCAATTCTCAGATACTGGAGACAAATACTTTTGAACCTAGAATTCCTCAGCTACTCAAATTTTTAGTCAAAGAAAACTCCTAGCCCACATGGTTTTGCTGGTGAATTGTATAAACATTTAAGGAAGAAATAATAGCATGTGTGTACAAGCGCCTACGGAAAATGGAAAAGGACAGAATATTTCCCAATAAGTGGTAACCATTACCCTGATATCAAAACCAGACAAAAACATTATCAGAAAACTACAAGCCAATCAAAACCCTTTATGTAAATACATGTAAAAATTCTAAATATTTTACAAATGAACGCTTCTGTTCATTTTCAAGATTATACGTTACCCACAGTTTTTCCAAATGTCAAGTTATAATGTGGTAAGCGTTCAGTGGTATCTCTTGTTCAAAAGAAAAGCAGCAAGAGACATCAGGGAAATAATAAAGTCCATTTGTTAATTCAACTAAAAATCAAACAAAATGGGACAGAATATTTACTGCCCCTCCTCCCTGATGCACATGTCATTCTTCCCATTAAAAGGCGGGATCATGCCGAAACCAGTTTGGCTCAGTGGATAGAGCGTCGGCTTGCGGACTAAAGGGTCCCAGGTAGGATTCCGGTCAAGGGCATGTACCTTGGTTGCTGGCACATCCCCAGTAGGGGGTGTACAGGAGGCAGCTGATCGATGATTCTTTCTCATCGATATTTCTAACTCTCTATCCCTCTCTCTTCCTCTCTGTAAAAAAAAAAAAAAAATCAATAAAATATATTTTAAAAAATAAAAATAAAAGGCGGGGTCACCCTTCCCTCTGCCTGGGCTGGCACTGGGTCCAGTTGTGAACACGAAGGAGGGTCAGAGTCACACTGGGCCAGGCCCAGACCCAGCCGCTCAGCCTGTCCACTCAGGCGTGGGCAGCCCCGGCTGGTGGCTGGAGGAAGGCCGCGTAGAGAGGCCCTGGAATGCAGAGAGGTCATGTGAGGGGGACCCAGAACCCAGACTCTCTGGCATCTTCCAGCCCAGCCCACTGCCAGTGGGATGCAGAGGCCCGAGCGATAGGCTGGTGGCCAGCAGAATGGCCCAACAAACCGGAGAAGCGTGAGAAATGACACACGGGGAGTGTTTTAAGATGTTAAACTTGGGTCGTTGGTGCTATGCAAGAAGGTAAATGGAAAATGATACTTGCTGTATCCTATTACTTAATGCCATATAAGCTGGAACTGAACTCAGAGGGGTAAAATCAAAGAAGAATTTTTAAACGGCTTTCTGACATTCTCAGATGAAGAGTAATATGTAATTATAAAGCATTACTATATTCCTTGAGGATGCGATTCTTAGGAACGAGGGGGGTTTTCAAAAGGATGACAGTCCTAACTCTCAGTTTCACAGCTTCTGCCAGTTAATCTGTCAATCTCTTAAAAAAGGAATTTGCATGGAAACTGATATTAGTAAAAAAAAAAAAAAAAAATTCTATGTGATAAAATCAGAAGCAGATTTCATATCTATTTTGACAAAACTTCAGAACATTTGAAAGTATCTCTGATACCAAATGCTTGTGTTCAGCGTGGTAGACACAGTAATTATCTAGTCTTTACAAATGAAGTGTAATCTATCACAAAATGTTTTCTTCTTTTGGATGGTGTTCAAGTTACAATAAGATTTCATTAAACAATGAGAGCATGGTTACTCCCCAGAAAAATTAATTCCTCAAAACCCAATTCTATGATTTGTTAGGTAAACACTTTATATAGAAATACTCTTTACATCATCTCTAACGTAACAACGTGGCTGCATTAGGCGAAGACTAATAACAAATGTCTAATAAATGTACTTAAATCACAGATACTAGAATACAAGAAAGACTGCCTAGTCCAGAAATGTGGTTAAAATATGAATATATAAATTAAGGAGGAATACACGGAATCACTCAGACAAGAACACAGAAGTGCACGCCTCTGCTGCCCGCCTCGTTCTCTCTCAGGGAAGGGAAAGCTCTAGTCTGACCAATTTCTACAACAACGACTAGGCCAGGAGTAAGAGATCACATGACCTCAGCAGGTCCCACCATCTCTTCTCTCACTCTCCAAACGCTAACCATAGCTTTGAGTTACTGTAGCCAGGCATCTGTATGTATAAAAAGCCATCAATCAGAACTCCGTAATGACCAAAACAACCAGTCGCTACGACGCCCGCTACGACGCCCACTACGGCCAGCAAACTAGCCCAATTGGGGGACGGGGCACTTCCCCCTGGCAGGCCCCGACCTGATTGCCCTCTCCCACCCAGGTCGAGGGCAAGGAGGCCTGCCAACCCTCCTGCGACCCTTCCCCACCAGCCAGCCCCACCCTCAATTATCTCGCCCACCCCATTGGTCTGCAGCCTCTTCCACAGGCTGGCCCTGCCCCTGATCACCCCCGATTGGGGTTGGGCCAGCCAGACCCCACCTGTGCACAAATTCATGCACTGGACCGTATAAGATAATAGGCTGCCATTTTTTGTAAATTGCCATTTTTAGCGTATTTCTTCCATATTCATACATGTGCCCAGCAGAGGAGTCAGTCATTGTTTCCTACCTTTCTTTTATGATGGGTTGCAGAAGCATCCATCTCCTCCTCCCCTATATTGTCGATCTGTGAGGTTGGACTGCAACAACTCATCCTCTCCTCCTCTTGCCTTTGGAGTCTGTCTGCTACGGCCTGAATAGCTTCCGTCCATTCTTCCCTACAGATCAAGTGCAAATTCTCATGAACAGAAAATGGTAACTGGTTCAAATATTTCCCTTTTATATGAAATATACACAAATAAAGTCTCCTTCACAATAACACACACACACACACACACACACACACAAGCTCACGAACATATTCTCCCACGCTTACTCCAGTGTGGAATTAATCCCAGTGATTTTTTAAATCACTCATCTATTATATCAGAATAATCATACTTAAGGGGCTACAGCATTTTACAAAGATATTTACTTGTATTTACAAATGGTGAGGTTAGACACACGGGTTTTTAGATTGACCGGCGCTTTTACATGAAATAGAAAAAGAAAAAAAATGGCTTTCTTACCTTTCCTCTGGGGTATCTACATGAAACGTTCTCTCTATAACAGTGGTCCACTGAAGACATCTGATAATAAATGTGTTTGGCTTTGGTCGTTCTGTTTTCATTAACTGGCATTCTAGTGATAAAATAAAACGTCTCTTTGAATATACTCACATTTAAATCAGGAAACAAACAAACTGTAGAGTTCTATTCTCCACACAGCATCCCAGGACCACACGGCTTTCCCCAGACACGTCCTGCTGCTCGTTCCTGTATCCATGCTCTGCTCTCTGGGATGCTGTCCATTCCTTTGACCCCGATCCATACGTGACCATCAGCTGTCGAAAGTACACCTGTCCTCGAAGGTGAAGATCAAAGCGACCTTCTCCCATGAAGCTTTTTCTGAATCCCCCTGCCTCCTCTAGTCTCAGAACTTACTACTGGCCCCCTCATTTTTCACTCAGCTTAGACTATCCTATAATATAATCATTTTAAGAAGGCATCCTTATCCCTCTACCTAGCTTTTTGATAGCACATACCATACCACCTGTATGTTTTAAAAAATATGTTTTTATTGATTTCAGAGAGAATGGGAGAGAGAGAGAGAGAGAGAGAGAGAGAGAGAGGAGAGAGAGAGAGAGAGAGAGGAACTTCAATGATGAGAAGCATCAATCGGATGCCTCCTGCATGTCCCCACTGGGGACCGAGCCTGCCACCCAGTCCTGTGCCCTGACCGGGACTCAAACCATGATCCCCTGGTAGATGGGTCGACGCTCACTCACTGAGCTACACTGGCCAAGCCACCTGTAACTCTTATTAATCACAGCCAGTCAGCCCACCACGTGATCAATTCTGTCAGAAACATTTAGGAATTCTTCCAGGCCAAGGACAATAGTGCAGTGGCTAAATGATGGGTTCCAACCCCACTGTGCCCTGATCCAGTTTTTTCCCTGCCATGAACGATGAATCCTGCAAGCGAATTAAGAATTAAGGCCTCTGGTCTTCAATCATTAAATGAGACACAGTAAGAGGACCTGTATCATAGAACTAGTATGGGGAGAAAGAGCAAATCGTTGTAGTCCTCAGCATTGTGGGTGACACAGCAAGGTTTCAATGACGCTAGCTGTTAGCTTTAGGACTGGATACGCAGTTCAGAAAAATGCCTTTAAACCATCAGGCATCATCTGTCCAAGTTACATCCCTCTTGAAAAGATGTTTCCAGCCGGCACCGGTTTGGCTCAGTGGATAGAGCGTCGGCCTGCGGACTGAAGGGTCCCAGGTTCGATTCCGGTCAGGGGCATGTACGTTGGTTGTGGGCACATCCCCAGTAGGAGGTGTGCAGGAGGCAGCTGATCCATGTTTCTCTCTCATCGATGTTTCTAACTCTCTATCCCTCTCTCTTCCTATGAAAAATCAATAAAATATATTAAAAAAAAAAAAAAGAAAAGATGTTTTCACACCTTCCCCTCCTTGAGCCCCGCCCCCTCCCTCGGCGACACCTCTTCTCCTACCAAGAGGTCAGGGTCATTGTCACCGGGTAACATATTTGAGGAGGGAGAGCCCCCTGCCCCATGTGTTTGTTCTGCTCTGAGCACAGCGAGGGATGGCTAGGAGGAGGGTGATCCCCTGGTAGGAGCCGATGTGGCATTTTATTTGTGGACGTGGGATGCGGACGGAGCGGTTTAGAGGGGAGGGACAGCGGGGAACGGTGTCCTCTTACTGTTGGTCTCACGCCGCGGGACACTGGCCAAGCCAATGGGAACACATGTTCAGGCACTAAGGATGGAAAAGCGGTTCCCAAATTCGCACTGGTCCAGCCCCGGGTTCTATCCTCTCAGGTGACAGACAAGGGAGAGGATGCTTTGCTGCTGGCGAGTGTGACGAGTCTGAACCAGAATAAAAATATGCTTTCCATAGAAGGAAAGGGGGAGGGGGGAGGTTAAGATATTACTGTTTATTTCATAAGAAAGAATTTTTTGTAAGAGGGGTTACTAATGCTATGTTCCACTCTAAAAGATGTTTTTTGTTTTTTGTTTTCAAATTCTGGCTTTTTAATGACCATAAACACCACCTGGTTTTAACAGGGGAGGCTATTTGTGGGTATAAACTGAGTGTGAATCACACGTTAATGTGAACCTCTCCTAATGCATTGTTCTTGAGCGAAGATGTCACCATCATTTACCAAAAGTATATCTCAGAGGCAACACCCTTCCCACCAGCATTTCTCCATCTCGTCTGTCCTCAAAATCCTCCCTCTAATGAAGTCAACATCTGCAAAGTCTTCTAAAGCAACTCCTCTCCGCACACCCTCTGAATACTTCCCATTTTAACTAAAAATACGCCGTGGTCCCCTGGGACAATAGTGATCGTACAAAATGAATGAGGCCTCACTAACACTGAGTTTCGAGGGTCAGGCACGCAAACATCAAAATGCATCATGAGGCGAGTTGCTCTGTGGTTTTGTTTTTTGCAGGCTCATAGCCATGAACTACTTTCTGTGGTTAAAATAAAATGTAACATTTTAACTACTTTAAAGCGCACAGTTCTATGGTATTAATAAGTACATTCACATTTGTGAGGTAAGTTGGCTTTTAAGCCTATCTCTTCCTTTTTTATCTCTGTAAAAATTCATGTTCAAATCATCTGTGCTTCCTGTAGAAAAATTCATAAATTGGTACATGGTTAATGTTTTCATGTAGATTTCAATTCTTTTATAAGCATGCTGTAAAACGAGACTATAGCATATGGAACATCTATATATATAAAAGCCTAAGCGACTGTTCCACCAGTAGCTATAACACACACTGACCACCAGGGGGCAAACGCTCAATGCACAGGCATGGAAACATGGGACAGACTGATAAAGCTCAGAGGAAAGGGGGTAGACAGAAGGGAAGAGAGAGATTAACCAAAGATCTTATATGCATACTAGAGGCCTGGTGCAAGGATTCATGCACTGGTGGGGTCCCTCAGCCTGGCCTGCACCCTCTCACAATCTGGGACCCCTTAGGGTTTCAGCATGATCCCTGCAGGGACCAGTCCATCTTGCCCAGTCTTGATTGGGGCCGATCAGGGCTTAGGAGGGACCACGTGAGGGATCCAGGGAGTGTCCGGCCTGTCTTGATTTGTGCACCAAGCTGGTTTTTGGCCCGATCCCTGCAGGCCAGGCAGAGGGACCCCACCAGTGCACGAATCTGGGGCTCTAGTATTAGAAACATGCTCTGCTCATTTATTATGCTGTGATATTTTTCGTTTCATTAAATAAAGAACTATATCATCATATTTCACAGTGGCTCAGACGCCTCTGTACTCATACATCCAAGCAAACAGCTTATTAGTGATCACAATCCATGAAACAAACAGAAACGGATTACCCGGATATAGAAAGAACGAGATCTACCCATTTTAACACAGCTTATTACAAAATACTGTGTGGAAATCTAAAAAATAATCATGAACACCATTTTGCTTTAATTAAGAAAAACTAATTGATATTTCAAACGTGATGAAACTGAAATTCTTAACAACATTTTTAAACAATCCAACAAGAATGCAAATTAAACTGCAAATTCCTTGAGGGCAAGATTCCTATTATTTGATCACCTCGAACTGTGCCTACACAGAGCAGGTCTCAATGAAATAAACACAATGAAAGAACATATGATTAACGCTAGCCAAATGCAGAAAGGAATTTGTGTTAGCTAACTACCACATTTCCAAAAACAGCTGAAAGATACTCCACATGTAATAAAATGATTGGTTCAAGCCAGGATCACCAATGGAAGCCAAAGTCCGTAGGGAAGTAAGTGAAGGACTGAACACCGCATGGTGCTAGGTATAGATAGTCCCACAGAGTATGTGCCCAACACTTAACTTTATGACGGAGCTTTCACACCTGAAGCCAGTGAACAACAGCAGGGGACCAAGTGTAAGTGCCTCCTAAATCTGAAATACTTATATTCAAAATCTAACGTGCCCTGCCCCGGCTGGCATGGCTCAGTGGTTGAATGTCGAAACCACGGTTCGATTCCCGGTCAGGGCACATGCCCAGGTTGTGGGCTTGATCCCCAGTAGGGGGCATGCAGGAGGCAGCCGATCAATGATTCTCTCTCATCATTGATGTTTCTATCACCCTCTCTCCCTCTCTCTTCCTCTCTGAAATCAATAAAAATATCTATTTTTTTAAAAAACTAAATTGTCCAGTTACACCTTTGAGAACATTAGTAAAAAATCCCGTCAGAAAAATACATACTCGAACCATATATAAATGTAGATGTTTATGTATAAATAAATCCTAATAACATCAATGTAAAAAAAATTAAAAGCCTAATCAAGTTCATGATTACATAGCTACAGCTCTGACTTAAGAGCAAGCTTTCTTTCCCTTGGGAAAGTGGTAGGATTAGGTTTACAGAACACTTACACGATTTTTTCCCTTGGAGAACAATGAAAAGGCCTATTCATTCAGAGCAAAGTACTCAACTTCCAAAAAGAGAAACAAACAAAAGAAAAGAAAAACACACACATAGTGAGGTTTGGAGGATTATAAACAAACAAGCTTAATACTTTCATTAAAAACATATACAAATAAAACCAAAGCACTATTAAGAATCGGACTTGTCCAGCCCCGCCAGTGTGGCTCAGTGGTTGAGCACCGACCTATGGACCAGGAGGTCACAGTTTGATTTGGGGCCAGGGCACATGCCAGGGTTGTGGGCTCAATCCCCAGAGTGGGGCAAGTAGGAGGCAGCTGATCAGTGATTCTTTCTCATCATCGATGTTTCTCTCTCTCTCTCTTCCTCTCTCTCTCTCTCTCTCTCTCTCTCTCTCTCTCTCTCTCTCTCTCTCTCACCTTCTCCTTCCTCTCTGAAATCAATAAAAATAAAACACTCTCTCACCTTTAGGAACTTTAAGATGAGACATAAATGCCTCTCTTTCCACTCAGGAATTCTGACTCCAGATGAGTTTTCCTCATTTGCAGGGTTTCACCCACAGCCACAAAATTTCTGGGTCTTTAGCACAAAACACTTCACTTCAAAGTCTGGCTTGACTATTGCATTGCAAGTAAGCGAAGAAATACTTTGGAATAATCAGTTCATTCATTGTCGAAACAGAAAAGAACTCATCTTAAATATT